CAGAGGAAGAGAAAATGAGGCTGGTGACTCTGCACAACCCTCTCTCACTTAAATCCAGTTCACTTGCATGTCATGGCATCACTTCCCTGATGTCATGGTCCTCTTCAAGAATGAAGGACAAACAGCAACAATCGACGTGTAATAACACATACATTCATACACACTCATACACACATCTCCACTTCCTGCACTATTTGCCTAAAAGACTAGCCTAGAATTAATTTGATTATTAATCTGAAGAATCAAAGAATAGAAAAAAATGGATAAAACTAGAAACTGCATGTATCCTTTTGGAAAATGATTAATTTTTTTTGTTGTTGTTTAAGACCTTCTTATTTACAGACTTTACAACACATCAACAAATATCCTTTTAAAGCTTTCCTCTAGCCCTGTCTAGTTCTAAAACTTAAAATTAGCTAGGTATTTTGGTTCTAAGAGTATAGAACCAGATTGAAAAGAAAGTTGACTTACTACTGTTGATTAATTGGTAAAAAATAATGTGGACTGAATAGGCAAAGGGTCTTAAGTACAAGAGCATTCTTCTAAGGAAATATGTTTTTATTACTTTTAAATATATTTAAATAACTAGAACTAAAGAAGAGTGTTATCAAGAAGAGATACTTAGCAGAACTATTTTAATGGACAAGAATGAACTGTATTTCATAAATTATGTTTATATGTGAATATGAGTTTTAAAATAATTGAAAACTCAAGTCTCTTTGTTGAGTCAAACATTTTCTTTGAAATCTTCTGTACTAATTTGCTTATTAAATTTCTTTACCACAAATGGTATTTCAGTTCAGTCCTTAATTGATGACAAATTTTGAGTTAAGTAGAATTCAGAATGAGGAGATTTTACTGTAAGATATGTCTGCAAAATTCGAGAGATAAATATTTCTTTCTATTCCTCATGAGGTTATTTTGATATGGGGTTAGTCACAAGCATAATAACTAAGGTCATTCAATTTTGTGGGTAATGGTTTATTTCTGCTAACTGAGCAGTTTTATCTAAAAGCAGAGCTGTCTCACCAGTTAGCTGACAAAAGACTTCTATAAAACATGAAAGTTTTATAATAGATTCCAGGAATTTTCAAAGCTACAGTAGACTAAATTTGCTTCCAGACCAATTAGCGAGGCTCTCTTCAATGCCATATTTGAGTTCCTGCTGAGGAAATATAGCTCATAATGGTGTCAAATTAGAAGCACAAGGATTTCTTTTGGTTTGGGAATTACAGTAAACCTTCACAACCTTCTTCTCCTGGGCCCATGCCCAGGGGAGGGGCTGCCTGGCAAATAGTGCATCAACTCCTGACTTTAGATTCTAAACCCAACCCCACACCCTTTCCAACATAATAAGATTGTAGCTTATTTAAGCCACCCATGGCCCACACATCAACAGTTTCTTTATTCTTAACATTTTGAGAAAAACATTCCTTATTTGCTTGTCTGGACATAAAAAAACATATGTTCTCAGACTCTTTGCCACTGGAAAAAAAGGAAAGTGGATTTGCCAACAAATGAAAAAAATACTAGCATGAAAGGAGCAAGAAAAAGAAGGAATTTTTCTCAACAATTTGAGGTGGAATTACAGAACTCTATTTAGTCGGGAAGTATTGGCTGTCTTCGTTCTGTGGAAAATTTACCTAATCTTTTTGGGCATGGTGCCATATTACATACACCAACAACAGGGGAGTGTGTCCTGAGAAAAAGGTTTATTCATTCTCTTAATACTTATTGAATTCCCATAGGGTGCCTGGAACTGTATACTAGGTACTAAAAGATATAAGGTTGGAAACTGGCCAGTAACAGATGGAATAACTTTACTGCATAATTTGAAGTTTTGCCTTTGTAAATCAAGATCCTGTTTTATGTGAGTTCTGGTTAAAACTTAAGAGTTCACCCACTTCCTACCAGCATGACAGCCTGTGAAATCAGCCAGACCACTTCTACTCTGGGTTTGAATTTTTGGCAAATATGGAACAGAAGCAGGCAAGCTGTTATCCTTGGAAAAATCCATTCTTCTAGAATTCCCCCATTCCCCACCTCCCTTTGGGCCAATAAAGCTTTGGTTTCCAAGCCTTCAGGCCACAGAACAAGCTGTTGATTTTGCTAGAAAACAACAGCAGGGGGGGCAGTTTTTATATAAAGTTTTATAGAAACCTCAATTTACATAAAAAATAGTTCCACTGCCAGAGAGACCTTCACCCAAAGAGATTAGTGCTCTCCTGTTGGTGACTTTAGGAATCAGCTGCGTAACAAATCATATGTGCTCCATGGGAAAGAGATAGAATAGAAAGCCAAGTTATTAGACTGCTCAGTTTTACACACACACACACACACACACACACACACACACACACACACACCGCTCACAAGTATTACAAATCGCATTTCTGGCAGTGCTACCCCAAATCTTATCCTCTGTGAACTGTCACAATCATCCTGTCCATTTGACTTTCTCCACCTCCTAGTCCTAATATTTGTTCAATCTCTCTTTTGTCTTTTATGACAACAAATACAACCTTTACATTTTTATAATAAAGTTTACATTAATAGCTAATTTTTAGAGTGCTTTATGGTTTGCAGAATGTTTACAAATATTATTTCCTTGGAGTCTCATCACAATTCTGTAAGGAAGGTACTATTATTATTTTACGAATGACAAAACTGAAGCTGATAGGGGTCGATTGGACTTGATCAGGGTTACATTGCTAGTAAATGTGGAAGGCAGGATTCAAAATCAAGTTTTCCTGACTCTTACGTCCAACGTTCTATCCAACCACAGTGGTGTATTGTTACAATAACAAAGCACTTTCCTTTTAAGGAACCTTGGGATGGGAAGAGCAAGAATCACATCTTCATTTTGAAGAGGAGGAGAGGTTAAGTGACTTCCCCAGGATCGCGCAATCAATATGTTTCTGAGGTGAAATCTGAACCCAGTACTCCTGACCCCAGCACTCTGACCTCTGTGCTACATGAATTAAAAGGCAACAAAAAGAAATGAAAATCCAAACACTGAGTGATGCTGCTTGTCATAAAATACTTGTACAATGTTCTCTGGGGGGAAAAGGTTACAATTTTATGGCTAAAATGGAGGGGGAAAGAATTATTATCCATGGATTTCAATCCTCCTTTTATTGGCACAGGTAAAAGAGAGCTGGCTACATGCACAGACTTGACCATCTGTGGACTAGCTGGCAAATGGCAGACAGAGATATCTGAGGACTATTTTTGTTCTTGAGCATTGCCAGCAATAGAATTTTTGAAACAACAAAACTATAATGTCTCTCATGGGCTTACATTAGCCACTCCTTTTTCTAATTATAGAATTCTAAGGCATGGCAAAGGGGATAAAGTCCTGGACTGGGAGTCAGGAAGACTGAAGTTCGAATTTCAAGTCAGACATTTATTAGTTATGAAGTCACTTAACCTCTCAGAGCCTCTGTTTCCACATCTAAAAAATGGAAATAATAATAGTACCTACCTACTAGGATTATTTTGAAGATTAAATGAGATAACATGTGATAATAAATATTTTGCAAATCTCAAAGGTTCTTTTTCCATAACCACCACCACCACCACCATTATCATCATTATCAAAGATAATCCATTTGTCCACTGAGAAATAGCCCTCCAGGCACTTTTTACAGAGACATGCTGAGCAAAGCCTCTGGAAAAGCCAAGACTACCATCCTTCACTACACTGTGTTTTCTTAAGAATCAAATCTCTTTAACTCTCAGTTTCCAGGAAGAAATAGCTTAAGCCAGGAGGGGGGCACCTGCAGCCTTGAGGCCACATGTGGTCCTCTAGGTCTTCAAGTGCTGCCCTTTAGACTAAATGGGTTTTTTGACATGTAGCCTGGAGGCTGTAGGTTCCCCACCCTGGTTTAAGATAATGGAACAAATTATTTTGGGAGGGTAAGGGAAGGGGCAGATTTAAATTAACTACTTTGCTATCAGAAAGAGTAGGAAGTCAGTCAGCTAACATTTATTTAGGACCTACTCTGGCAAGCACTACGCTAAGGGCAAGGGATATAAAGAAAGACAAAAACAGTCTTCATTCTCAAGGAAATCACAGTCTGATGGGGAAGATAATATGCAAACAACTATGTACATACAAATAAGATATATACAGGATGAACTGGAGGTAGTCTCAGTGAGGGCACCAAGGTGAGACTTTAGCAGAGACAGTTTCTGAATCTCTGTTTTCCTCAAAAACTCTTTTCTGTAAAGTTACAAAAATGTAAAATTTCACCAACACCCATTACTTGACCTTTTCTTCCCAGTTACCTCTGCATAAAGAATTATGCCATCCTGTTCTACCCCACTGTTCCATACATATTTCAAGACCCATGGGATTTAGCGCACTCATAGCTCAGCCATTTCTAAATCTCATACTTTACAGTTTTTTGTGGTAATATGACAAGATGGAAAGAGTACCAACATGGATGAAATCACAGATCTTTCAAAATATGAGTGAATCGGCCAAGAAGTGAGGAAGACAGCAGCTAAAAAAAAAGAAATTCCTTCACTATCTTCCTAGCATTAATGGAATAATGGTTACTAGTGAAAATAGGGCAGTATTTTTTTTTCTTTGCATTAAAAAAAAGAGTGTCAGGTAATGAAGTAGTTATTCCTTTCAGAGGACACAAAAGAAATTATGCATACTGACTTGTTCACATATAATTATCAGCACTACAAAGAAACTCATTCTTAAGTGTGTTCATTAAATACAAGAAAAGTTAATTCTTCTCTCTACAAAAAGGATTTTCAAGGTTCTATTAAGTTCTATAGAACCAAGCCAATTTGTGGTTTTGTCTGTTAATGAAAGTTATCAATTTTAAGTGAACTCTGGACCTATGTAATGGATGTTGTACAATGATTATTCACAGCTAACATTACTTATGGCGATCTTTTTGATTTTCATGTAGTTATGAGACTTCATTTACAGTTTTCTTTACCAACACCCAGTTATTATAACTCACCATACCTGACCATACCTGAAATTTTTCACCCCGGTTCATCTGAGTTGATCGAAATTCAGGGGAATCTATAAAGGCACAGGGGTAAATATTATGCAGAAAATGTCCTCGATAGGAGACCTTCATTCTGATGATAAAAATATTTGTTAATAACATGCACATAACATTTTGGCACAAATGGTAATATGAACTTAATCTGAACATATTTAATATCCTCGTCACTTTCTGGGGTTTTGAAGTTGTTTTGTTTTTGAAGGCTGACCACAGATGCAAGACACATTTGAGTGCTTTCACTCAATCTCTGGACAAATATTTAATCAATGAACTTTCTTGAAGTCACTTTCTGGAGCATAGAGCATCTCTCCCAAAGGCAGAATCCATTGTTGATGCTGTGATATCTCAAGTCATGGTTGTTTTGACATAATAATTTCAATCCTATGATGTCTGGCATCACTCTTAGAAGTTATATTTCTGGAAATCACCAAATAATAAAACAACCAAATCTGCTCCACCTCCACCACCACAGGTAAGACTTAAAACATTGCATCAAAACTTTAAGAAGAGTCTCCATTTCTTATTCTAATTTTATCATTATCTCTTAATATTTCAATTAATATTAAATTAACAATAAAATAAATTTGATTAATTTAAATTAATAATCTAATTTTATCATTATCCTAGCAACTGCAATTCTGACCCTCAACTTTAAAAGGCAAAAGAAAAAAAAAGTCTATGAAGAAATAACCATCTTACCAACAATTGAGAATTCTGTGAATTCACCAAGGTGTATAGAAATAAATTCTAACAATCTCCACCAGTTATATCAAAACAAATCCAGTTATTGTCACTAATTATTACTATTTTACTGTTATCTAAAATAAGAACCTCAATTTTTGTGTAGCACCTACTTTCCCTTCAATAAGATACTCAGGCGGTCATCCACAGATGTTTTATCCTCTGCAGCATAGGTCTGGCCCTTTTTAAGGGTCTGAATATTGCAAAACTGTCCAGTTAATCTTTTGAACAATTCTGGGGGTACACGTAGTGGTTCAAACATTCTTCGGTATACACCAGTGAGTTCCTTTTCTATCTTTATCTGGAATACAAAAGAATAAAGACTATCTAAAAGGGTTGACTGAGTAAACATAAAAGATCCATTTCTATATTCTCTTCTTAAAGGGTAAACATGTTTCTAATTTGTATCATGGATCTTCCACTCATCTCAATATTTTGCTTGTGGAAAGATGAAGTAATCATGCTGATTTCTATTTTAGATTAATTTTAAAAAACAAGATTTATTGATGCTTTTTGTTTTTACAAAGTCATTTCTGGATATACAATCTCCTCCTCCTAATAACATCCCAGCCCAGAATCAAAATCTTCCTTGTAATAAAGGGGAAAAAAATTAAGCAAAAACAACTGATACTGTAACCTTGGCTGTGACAACATAGGCAATATTCTTGCCTATACTCTACCTTAGGGTAATATTTTCACTGAAATTCAACAGTGTAAATGCATAAGAAGGCTCTTTATATTCATAACTTCTCTTCCTATGGGTTGTGAAATAACTGAGTTTTTTTTTTGTCATAATATATTACCTGTTGTCATAATATAGCATAGCTGCCTTCCTAGTTCTATCAATAAAATGCTAAAACTTGTCAAGACTGGAATATCCTTTTTAATAGTATGTATGCATTGAAAAAACAAAACAAAACATGTTCATTTTAAAAATAATGCATCAGGATTAGAAATGATCCACAGAACAGTCACTCTCAGAAAATATGCAGCAGTTCACTGAGCATAGTCTAAAGAGCCCTGGGACATCCCCAAGGTCAAAACTATTTTCATAATAATACTATTGCTTATTAAATTACTCTTCCCTTTCCAACTATTTATCTGTATGAGGCCAGATTTTCTTTATACACTTCAACAACAAATCACACAGATTTAAAGCAGAAGTAGATATGAGAATCCAGTTGTCTTTAATTAAGCCAAACATTAAAGAAATTTTCAAAAATGTGTAAAACAAAGTCACTCTTCTCACTGTTTTTTTTTTTGTTTTGGAAAATATAGTTATTTTTCATAAAAATATTTATGTTGACATGTTATAGATTTATTATCATTTTAAAATGAATTAATATTTTAAAATGTATCAGTTTTAATTTTTAATATGACAAATATCAATAGGTATAACTCATACAAACAAGCTCTTTGGAATATCCTCAATGATTTTTCAAGAGTGTAAAGAAGTTCTGAGACCAAAAAGTTTGAGAACCACTGGACTAGAGAACAGAGAAGTTAAGTGACTTGCCCAGGGTTACACAGCCAATATATGTTATAGGCAGCAGTTAAACCAAGGTATTTCTTAATCTCAAGGCAATTCTTCATCCACTATTACTCACTGCTTATCACATACATCATTTTTGTTTTCATTACTTGTGAATATGTCACATAGGCTATTATAGTGTGAGATATACATATTATATATATAAGTAATATGTAATAATATAATATAATATATGATATAAAGATATGTGATCTCTGGATCACAGATTATTTAATATTTATAGTTCCCCTATATGAGTAGCAGTGTTTGGCACACAGAAATACCTAATAAGGTTTGTGAACACTGGTTATTGGAAATCAGCCATCCCCCAACCACATCGCACAATTTAAATGTCTATTGTTTGATTCTTTGACCTGAACTACTCTCCCTCTCTGGGAAGTGACTGAGTATTCTGGAATCCAATGACCTATGAGAACAATGGAAAATGATGGGGCAAAGTGTGCACAATTTTAGGGCCTACCCAACAGCTCTTATGAGTACCAGACGGCCTATAGGGCCATACATCTACTGAAAGTTCTTGAGGACTTATTCTAACTTTTTGCTTTTCTGAATTCCACTTTAATGATGAGGCCCACGGAAATTAGAAATGCCCACAAAAGCAAATTTATATTTACAAGATGAAGAATCATACATACAAATATGATATCTAGCTAGTGCTTCTGAGGAGTATCATTGTCTCTAGTTCAGCTTAGAGATGCACATCCCTTAAAGGGTTTCCTGAATTTCATGGCTCTGGGAATTGGAAATGCTTGGGAGTTCTGAGAGAACTGGATTTCAGTTCACTGAAAACAAATCAAGATTAACCCATCTCAAAGTAACTTAGCTACATTTTCCATAGGCAAATCACTTAATTTCTCTAAGGCAGTTTGTTCATCTTTACGAAAATGACAGCTTGGCAAAGTGGAGAAAGAGCCAGCTTTAGAGACCCCAGGTCTTGCTTCTGACATGCTCTCACTATGAGACCCCGAGCAAGTTACTTCCTAGGCCTCTCTCTAACGCTTTAAGTTGCAGACCAGATATCCCCTGCAGCCACAGCCTTGCCATTCTTCAAGTTCTACCTAAAGCTGCTAATCTCAGAGAATCTTTCTCTATGAAGCCAGTCCCCATTTAATTCACCTTTCCCTGCCTAAATTTCTATTGCACTATTGCCTATAACTTATAATTTAGCACTTCAGGGTATGTTATCATTTCGCACTCTAATTGTACTGTTGTGTAAGTCAGTCTTTCCAAGAAGAATGTGAGTTTCTTTAAAGTATTCGGTATGTGACCCACCCTCATGCTGGGCACAAAATAAGCAACATCAGCCATAGTTATGATGAAAAGATGACATTTTCCATACTCCCTTCCATTTTATCTTTAGTATCATGTATTCTTATTGCCATCAATTTTTTTTTTTAAAAAACGAGCTAACTCATAATGTAAAACGAGATGTTAAAAATGATGCTTTTAGGGGCAGGTAGGTGGTGCAGTGGATAGAGCACCGGCTCTGAAGTCAGGAGGACCTGAGTTCAAATACGACCTCAGACCAAACACTTGACCCTTACTAGCTGTGTGATCCTGGGCAAGTCACTTAACCCCAACTGCCTTAAAAAAAAAAATGATGCTTTTAGAACAGCCAACAGGATAACAGCATAACTAAATTTTAAGCATAGGAAAATAATTGAAATAAATATTGCCTTAAAAGTAGAAGTGCTCTTGTGAAAAAAGATCCCATAAACCTGACATCAATCCCATTATTGTCTAGCTTTTAGAATTTGCTGAATCTCAATCAAATTTCTCCTAAATGAGAGAGATATTCAAATATTATTCAGGAAGGTTAACATGCCCACATTACTTAATTTGTAGTGTTTATCTTGCTCCATGAATTCTAAATAAACTTTTAGTTTGTGTAGAACTTTTTTGTTGTATGTGTGTATGTGGGAAGGGTTTCAACCTGTGATTTCATTGGCTTGAGGAAACTTACTCAGCCAACACATGTTGACAATTATTTTGCAACTTAGATTCTAGGGAGTTGTCTGGTCCACTGAAAAGTTGAGTGATTTGCCCAGATTACACAGATAATATGTGCTAGAGGCAGGGCTTGAATCCAGGTCTTGTGGGCTTCCAGGTTGGTTCTCTATCCTCCTTGTCATGCTATTTCTTGAAATTGCAGGTTCCAGAACTACTACTTCTTATAGTTTCCAAAAATGTTACTTTCATATATACAGAAATGGAAAATCCACCATAAAAGTCAGAGTATAGAAGAACTAAAATTATTGGAAACTCATACATGGACCCAAGAAAATTCCTCTTCAAAACTCAAATTAAACTTATACTCATTATTGACCTGTGAGAGGAACTACATACCGGTCTTTTTTTGTATAGCAGGTACAGAAAATGCAACAGGTTGATAATCAGAAAGGCAGAATTCCAGATCATTATATCCAAGGCACAACGATAGAGTGTGGCCCAGACAATAAAAAGAGCACATCCTGTCAAATAATGAATAAAAGATAAATTATTAGAAGATTCAAGTCTAACTTCAACATACGTGTAAAGTATCTTCTCCAATATGAAATAACATCTGACAGATACTTCTGAATCACTTTAACATTATGGAAAAATGAAACATTATATTCATTTTGTTTTGTTTTGTTTTGTTGTTTTACTGCTGAGAAAATGCCCTAGGAGCCTTCTGTTTAAGGTTCTGCTGATTTTGAATGAAAGGATTTAATGAATAATTCATACTTCCAATTGATAGAACTGGAAACTGAGGGAGGTACCTATCAACTGAGGAATAGCTAAATAAATTATGATATATGAATGTGATGGGATATTATTGTCTCATAAAATGATAAAAGATATGGTTTCAGAGAAATCTAGGAAGAGTTGTATGAACTGGTGCAAAGTGAAGAGAACGGAAGTAGGAGGATAATATTTACAAAAACAACATTATAAAGCAGACAGTTTTGAAAGAAAAGACTCAAGAACTCTGATTACTACAATGACCAATTACGATCCCAGAGAACCAATGATGAAGTGCACTATCCACCTCCTGACAGAGAGGTGATGGACAGAACAATATATAAATTTTTTTGGACATGCCCAAGATAGGAATTTATTTTATTGATTATCTATATTTGTTACAATGGTTCTCTCTTTCTCTCTCTCTCTCTCTCTCTCTCTCTCCCTCTCTCTCTCTCTCTCTCTCTCTCTCTCTCTCTCTCTCTCTCTCTCCCTCTCTCTCTCTCTCTCGGTTAGAGTGCAGTAGAAGGAAGAAAAAATAGATTTTTATTAATTAAAAAAACTCCAAATTGTTAAAAGACTAGATTTATATCACCATATGACAGAGGAACAGAGGCATTCTAATTTCCAACAACAATTAACAAAAATAATTCATCTGAGAATTTCATCTGACATTTTTGAATGTCATTAATAGGATCCGATTTATGATGTGTGTATGGAATAGTTATGACTCTGGTCAAGTCACAATGTGACTTATATACTATAATAATATATATTTTTATATATAAATAATATAATATATAGCATAATATATAATAATAATAATATACCTATACTAATAAAATTACAAGTCCAGTCCCCAAAGTCTCCTTAATATCTACTCAATAATAACACACTCAAATGCAGATTTTTTTCCCCTAATACCTAAAACAATTGGTCCAATTAAATTCTCTAAGCTTTCGTTTCCTTTTACGTAAAATATAGAGGCTGTACTAGATTATCTCTAAGAATCCTTCTAGCCCAGCATTCTATGACTCTGCTTTAATATATTCTTAGCTTTATTTTAAAAAATCCTCAGAATTATCTTTTCCCTTTTTAATAAGGTTAGCTCATTGGCATCAGCCAACAGCAATAAAGGCAAGATTCTCTGTCAAAGACCACAGAATCTTAGAACTGGAAGGAACCTTAAAGGACATCTAGTCTAAAACTAAAGACTAGAAAGGGAAGTGACTTGCCCAAGGACATGGAGGTAATAACTGGCAGAGGCAGGATTTGAACTCAGGTTTTCTGACTCTATATCCAGAACTTTTCTATCACATCACAACAAAATTGATGCTGTCATTTATACATTTCAGGCAAATGCCCTGATTCTGCCTAATATGCAGATAACCAAGTCCAAAGAGAAGGTTTCATTTGCATTACTGATCGTGAATAGGTAGGTGATTCAGTCCTCTTTTTTGCATTACTGACATTTGAAACACTGAAAGCAAGCCATCAGAAAAACCATGTAATCACAGATGAAACTATGGAACATGACAAAATAAAAAGAACACATATCCCTTTGCCCAAAGGGCTAAATCAGTATTGGGGGCCCTAAGCATTTCAGTTGGCTCTTTACGTTACCCAGAGATAATAAAACCTCTCATTTGATTTTGTCAAATATAAACCTGACAAAAAGATATGATAAATTGATCAAACCAAGAATCATATCATGATAATGAAAGAAAATGATGAAAAAACAATATTATGGGCTTACCTATAGTTAATAACCCTCTAAGAAATATCATATGAAGAGTCAAAGTAGTTGGAATAACCAAAGCAACTACAAAACAGATATTTGCTACGTGGAAAACTAGATGGTGTATCTCTCTCCAGTTTTCACAAGTGGTTTCATTGGAGGGCACAGGCAGGAGGTTTTCAAGTTCAGATGTAAGACCTCTTGTTGTGAATTCATTCAATGAACTGGCATCTGTGTGATTCATTGTGGAAAATTCCTGTTAAGAAAATAAATAAGAAATGCTAAAACTTAGTCATATTATTTGACACTCCACGAGAGTTCCTTGCTTACTTAGCAACAAAACCATTGGTTGACATTCATAGAAATAAATTATGCCTAATTTTACTCAAATGATTTTCTTGAAAAGTTTCTTAGAAGTTGAATTGTTATAAACTAAATCATACTTTAAAATGAATTAAGAGCTTCAATTAAGAAGAATTCCAACTATAGTTATTTTGACTGTTATAAATACCCAAATTAATTTATGAAGGACATACGAAGACGCTATTCTGCATCCAGAGAAAGAACTGATAAATAAAAGCATGTATAGAATAATTTTATGTATGTATATGTATATATCTATATATGTATGTATGTATATATCTATGTATATGTATATATCTATATATACGTACATATATATTTGTGTGTGTATACCTATTTGCATCTAATGGTAGCCATCTTTGGGGTGGGAGGTGGGGGTAGGGAAAAAAAAGAAATTTACATAATAATTTTGTTGCGTATTTGAAAGGAATAGCAAGTTGTGCACAGTAGATTTACAGTTTCATGTGCTATCATCTTTTTCATTGTACTATGTTATGGGAATGCTTGTTTTATTCCTTTAATTAAAAATAAAATTACAAAGAATTCCAATTATAAAGGAATTCTAATATATTCTGTATGTTTAAAGAAATCCTTATAATGAATCTTTCTGTGAAATTAATATAGTATGAACACCTCCTAAGGTACATTTAATTACCTGAATTATCAAGGATCTTTGATTTTATTAGTGTGGCTCCTTTTAACTATGCAGCTTGAAGCCCTTACAATGTGTTAGCCGGTGGTGTTCATGGGTTGCTGTGGCCCTAACACTTCATCACCTGGGGCTAATCTTCCAGTAATAAACCTTTGCCCACTTAGCCAAGCTGGTCCTTAGAGGACAGACATACAGTCTGGCCATCACTGGGCCTAGACTTCAAGCCCTTCTACCTTGGAAGGACCTACTAGACCTTATACTCCATTGACACTGCCATTAAGAACTTAGGATCACCTCCATGGGCAACTGGAATGGGACTTTAATTGAGGAAGTTAGAGATGAACTAATGGCGTTAAATAACAGAAGCTCATATATCATTTGAAATGTCATCAATTCCAACTGCCTCATTTTTGCTTGAAGTGAAGTATCTATTGTATCCAAAAGTACTAAAAGGAGGAAGGAAACAAGCATTTATTAAATTCCTATTTTGTGCCAGAAACTGTGCTAAGCACTTTACAAATCTTATCTCATTTGATCTTCACAAGCCTGGGAGGTAGGTGCTATTATTATCATCCCCATTTTATTGTTAGGGAAACTGAGGCAAATAAAAGTTAAATGACTTGTCCAGGCTCACATGTGCAGTGGAGTCAGGTGGCTCCAGTCAGTGGCTCAGTGGCCTGGAGTCAGAAAGACTAAGTTCAAATTTAGCCTTAGAGACTTACTGACTGTGTGACCTTGGGCAAATCACTTAACCTTCTTTGCTTCAGTTTCCTCATCTGTTAAATGAGCTGGAGAAGGAAATGGCAAACCACTCCAGTATCTTTACCAAGGACACCCAAAATGGGATCACAGAGAGACAACAATATAAAGGGTCCCACGCCCAGTGTCCGAGGCTGGAATTGAATTCAAGTCTTTTCTAACTTTATACTCAGTATTCTACCCTTTGTGCCATCTAACTGCCTAAAAGAGAATTGAGATCTAATTTGCACACAAGATATAAATCCTCTTTTTTTAATTTCTTTTTTTTTTTCCTGCAATGAGGGGGAAGAGTGTGAGCCTGTGCTTTCACTGATGTGTAGAAAACCACTTCTTTCCATGCAGAACAGTAACTAGTCCGTAACATTTAATCTTAGAGAACTACCCAGGGCATTAAGGGGTTAAATGGCTTTTCTATGGTCATGTACCTGGTCTGTATGAGGTAGGATTTGAATCCAGGACTTTCTGACTCCAAGGCCAGAACTCTAACCTATAAAACAGTACTCTGCTTCTCTTATAAGCCACATCTTGAATCCACAAAAAGTTCATGACAGACAATAATAATAATAATAATAATGATAGATATAGGAATGAGCCACAAATTTGTTAATTTATTACATAATTAAAATAAGTTCATTCACTGGCAAGGAAGGGGGAGACTGTAGTTGTAAAAAATTAATCAACAAGGTCTGCTGGTTACAAATATTATGAAGTTCTTTATATAGAAAAAGAATAAAGCTGGGAAAGTCAACCTTCAAATGTTTCATGTGATCAAAATGCCTTTATTAAATTATTTTTGAAATCAATATATTTTTGTAAAGGCAATATTAATTTCTTATTGGTTCATGAACCACAGATATTAACATAATCTCTCTCTCTTTCTGTCACACACACACACATACACACAGAGCTTAATTACTTCTATTACTACTATTAAATCTTGCTTTACTTTCCAGATAGAGATTTCCCTATGTTGTACTTCAGAAATTAAAAAGCATACTTCTACACAGTGTAGCATGATTCCCTCTTCCCGGGATAGAGATGGTGGCCTACAGGTGAACAATTAGGTATATACAGTCAGACATAGCTTTATTTTACTTAGTTGTTCTTTGTTGCAAAGAGGGGCTTGACTGGGTATGGAGGTAAGGAAGTCACTGGAAATATGCAAAAAAAAAAGTATCAAGGAACAATTATTGAAAAAATAAGGGCCTATGAATTATAAAATTAAAGATATAACTTGAGTATTAGCTTAATAAAAATTTTAAAATGAGGAGATCAAAATTATCTGTAATTAGAAGTCTATTGATGTGAAAACTTAGAAATTCCTTCTTGGAATCCAAATATCTTATTTTGATATACATGACTATTTAACAATTTTAAAAAAGCTTGTCTTTATTGATTACCTAAATTAAATTAATTTCCAACCAAATACTGCTTTGTGTCCACTTCTCAGTTATCCTACTATTTATTTTAATAAATATGGTTTGGAGAAAATCTATGTGGTCTGTGCTTGCCTACATAAAACTCAACACCAAGTGGCACCATTTACTGAGTCCTTTATCATTTGTGGGTTCTCCTTCTTTAAAAAAAATGTTTTATTATGAACTCTCTGAAACCTGATCCATTACACAAAATACTTGGCTTTAGGGGAAAAAACCTAAAATATTAATGTAGCTGTTTCAGAAAAAATAATTACTCAAATGGGAACAGTTTATAATATTTCATTTAGTTCATAATATCTATTTCTCCATTAGACAACTTTACTTCTTTCAAGTACTGAAAACATACAAAATAAATATTTTAAGAAGTAGAGTAATTAGTACAAGTTAGGTATGCTGAAGTCAGAGAGTCAGAGTTAAATTAAATTTTTGAAGAATTCCACATTTCTTTAAATGCTGAAAAACTTTTGTTTCCAGCTTTTGCAAAATTTACATGAAACACAATTAAAGTATTTTGGAATCCAGCCTCTTTATTTAATAGATTAGTTACTGGAAAATCATTAAGTAGACTTGTTAGATATCTACTAGAAGTAACATCTAACTTCTGCATTGTTCTGAAGCTCAAATATATAATGCTACTAGCAAAAGGCTAGAGCTGACTTACACATCAATTTGCCAGAAAAAGAAAAGAAGACATCCTAAAATCCAACTACATTTAAAATGTCAATGTTAAAACAAATATATCCCTATCGAGACTTATCTAGTGACTTATTTTACATTAGGATTCATTCATGAAACTCATGCTTTTTGATAGCCGATCATACCTATATACTATGTAGAACACAAATAATGCAATTCTCTTCATTGCAATTCAGTAAACATTTATTAAACCTATACTGTATGCAAAATATTCTGCTAGGCACATGAAGAAAGATAAGTTCAAATAAGATCCCTATCCTCATGGAGCTTACTGTCTAGTAGAGGGGTAAGAAACATGGAAATAACTAAAATACAGGATAATCCCATTAGAGAATCGCAAAACATCCAAATGTTATAATTTGAAAAAGAAAAAAGCCTGAGATTAAATTCCAGTTTCTTTTCTACTAATTATTAAACCTCACAGTCCATAAATTAGCTCTGATTACCCCGGGAAGACATATTAAATATGCCTGACAACATGAGTAGTAGCTGATGGAGCATTTCCTATTAGCAAATCCTCCTCTACATTAGGCTTAATTTTTCCTGAATAATCATTCTTTTTAAAAATCCCAGAGAAAAAATAACAGATATTCACATTCTAGTTGCAGTTAAAGAAAAGTCAGGAAGAGTTGAAATGTTTTTGTTATGATCAATAGTTTTTAAGAACATATTTCTGTGATAATATTTTAGCCTACTAATTTCTTCCTACTGAATTAAGAATAGATAGGGAAAACTGTCAGCCACATTATTATTGATCACCATAACTTCCTTGTGGGCATCCTGATGATTTCATCTATCAATGAAGTACATAAAGAAGATCAGATTCTATACTACAATATGCCTACAAAACTAACTGAATCAGGTGACTGGCAGAAATAGACCTTTTATCAAGTAGAATCTCAGGTCTGACATAGAATTCTTAGTAATGTTAATTAAGCTGTCAACGATATAGTGCACTATTCACTTATATATAATATATAAAATAAACCTGTTTTATACATACACACACACACACATATACACATCTATAAATATTTTAAATATTTGGGGAATCAGCTGAAGTTGTAATCAGGGTCCACAACAACAACAACAAAATATTTAAAATTTCCTGAAAAGGCACTTAAAGCCATATTTTTTTCCCGATAAACTAACTTTAAAATGCAAACAAAAATTATATTTCAAAGCCTTAATTATTGTTGTTGAATTAAGTTTATTTATAGGAAATGTTATTTCAACAGAAAACTGAAGATTAAGATGCGATTGCTTAAAAAAGTATAGCAAAGTAAACAAAACAAAGACTAAAAAGTTAAGAAACAATGTTAACTTCCAAAAGACTTCACTGTTTTGCCTAGAGAGCAATTAGTGAGATTTTTTTTGTATTGAAAAGATTTGTTATAGCATGTTATAAATATAATTTACTCCGCAACGGAGTTCATTAACTGATCAATCCAAAAAGAGTTGGATTATACTATGATTGCATTTATTTGCCACAATTGAGACTATGCAAAGAAAACGGATGTAGAGTTTTTTAAATCTACCTCTGGAGATTAAATTAGTCACTCTTTGGGAATCCCTGAACTGCGTAGGGGAGGTATTCCTGAGTTTTTGGTTACTGTGATCTATTATCATTCCTGTCATTAAAATTTTTTAAAACATCCCTTTTTTCTCACCATTGCTCACTTCAACCAATTTCTTTACAATAACTGACAACTCATATTTTTACAGCTTTTTACAAAAAGCATTATGATGATACTATAAGAGAGTTTTTGTAAGCATTAGAATTCCTGCTTTATATATGAAGCAATTGAGTCTTGAAGTTATTTGCCCAAAGTCACAAATGCTGGAGGCAAGACTTAAAACACAGTGATCTATTTACTACACTACTGTAATAATGTGAGACAGCATACATTCTTAAAATTAAAGTCAATAAAATTAATTTTACTGAGTTACCCTACTGGGTGGGTTAGAGTCATAGAATGATGTTTATGACTCTCCCTACGCTAAATAGTATTTGGTTTGTGATAGAGAACCATGGACCTAGTACTATCTCTACATTTAATAATTAAGCAGAACATTCACCAGTCTCACACAGAATATTGCACAGAATATTCACACAGTCTCTCTCGGAAAGAGAGTTTTGCAATCCAGCACAATCCTGATTTATAGCATGTGTGGTTGTAATTTCTAAGAGTATTAAACTCTGTGAAAGGCATAAAAGTATATCTCCCACTTTTTAGGTAATTATAGAAACATACCAAACAGAACACTGAACTGGAGGCATTGTTAACAGATAATTTGACTTGAGTCAACACCTTTGCTTTCTGTCAAATTCCAAATTATAAATTCTCATGTTTTAAAATATGAAAATTCAACACCACAAAATCTGATCCTACTTTCATAGTTCCAAGAGTCTCCTCTTCAAAGTAAGAAACATGGTAGCATTTGAGGGGTGGTATGAATATGAATGAAATCTGACTGGACAACATGGGCTTTCAAACTACTTTATGCCAGTCAGCTAAACCATTTTAAAATTTCCTTCTTGCTCTAAGTTTTCAGAAAAGTTCTATGGAAAACCTAAAGTAGCCACTAGTATACCACAGTGTGCAAATTTGGAATGCAATATCTACTAGTTGGTGGAAAATGCAAAATCTTTCATAAATTACACAAAATTATACAAATATATTCATAAATACCTACATACAATATAATTTGAATATATTTTATGAATATATTCATAAATTGTACAAAATTAGAATATCTCATATTTAGAAATGCTTTATAACATTCCAAGGGCTTTTTTTCCAGACAACCTTCTATGACAGTACACATATTATTTATTCTGATTCCTTTTACAGATGAAGAAACTGAGGCACAGGGAGATTAAATGACTTACCCAAGGTGACACTGATAGTATTAATAATGATTGACATTTCTATAGTGCCTTAAAGTTTGCATAGCACTTTTAAATATGCTCCCTTATTCAAGCTATACAACAATCCTTTCAGGCAAATACTATAGGTATTGTTATCCTTATTTTACAGATGAGGAAGCTGAGGCTCTCAGAGGTCACAGCTAGTGTCAGGAAGGAATCGAGTCTAGGCCCTACTGACTAGATTCAGCATTCTATCCACTCTCTCAGGGATTCCTGGGGGTCCCTGAGACCATTTCAGAAGATGTCCAAGGTCAAAATTATTTTCATAATATTACTAAGAGATTTTAATGTCAAATACAGCAAATATAGATAGATATAACCTACATAAACAAAAGCTCTTTGGAGGGTCCTAAATAATTTCAAGAGTGTAAAGGGGCTCTGAGGTCAACAACTTTGAGAACCACTGCACTACGCCCAGCTGTCTCTCAAGTGTTAAACATATTCGTATATTATTTGATAACAAGACATTTTTTAGAGACTATGGACACAAATGCAGCTAAAAGAATAATACTGTTGAGTGAATACATGTGAAATTAAGTCAATAAACACTTGTGAAATCTCTACTATGTGCTAGGAGCTGGACAGGATTTTTCTTTTACATTTCTTGGGTTTCCTGCCAATCATCAAAACATGATTAAGTATATGGTGTGTGCTGGGGATGGGGGGGTGAATGTTATTTTTCGGTCTGACCTATGAGATTATCAGCTGAAGAAAAACCTTGGTATGGAAACTCGCTCTGTCGATGGAGATCAGATTCTTAACAGCAATTTAGTTATGTTAACGGTAGGCAGCAAGTTTTTGAGCCCAGAGATGTGGAAATACCAGTGAGTACTAAAACCATGGTGCTACTGTACAACTGTCTTAATAAGCACATATTAAATAAGTTTCTGTTACAAAAACATATGCCCCAGAGAAATTCCATCTTCTCAGCTGGTCCATAAATATTGAACAGATATCTCAGCTCCTGGTTTACTAAGATGGCAATTTAAAAGTATTTAAGGAAAATAGAGTTTCCCCCCCAATCTTTCCTTCTGCCTCTGACAACATATTACATTGTTCAATTGTTAAACATAATTGGAGTGGTTGATTATTAAAATGACAGACTTGGGGGGAATTTATCAAGAAATTATTACCACCATTCCCATTCATCTGTAAGTCTCTATTGCAATAAATTACCTGCTTCACAACCTATTTACATATTTTTTTTCAGATTTACATCTGCTATGCCAAATGATATTGCTGATGAGGAAAAAAGTTCCAAACTACCCCTCAAACTAAGTAAACACAAAAAACCCAAAGAAATATGGGGAAGGAGAGGAGAGGCCACTTAGGATCCCTCTTACCAAAATTTAGGATTAATTGTTTCTTTTTAAATTCTGTACACCTTTCAGAGAAGCTGAGGGTCACTACAAATGGTACTTCACTGCTGAAGAATCACTGTGCTCCTGTCCCGTTCTTCAAAGACGGTCCTGCAGCTTCGGTGCCTAACCTATTAGTAAACACCTTCAAAATTAGGCCCAAGGGGAGTTGTTTCAACTGAAGCTCTTAGCCCAGATGCAAGTTCACATAATATCTAGCTTACCTTGTTCCTTCCGGTGGGAAGCCTAAATAGCTGCTTCTGATGTGCCTTTCAACTCTGAAATTCTGTGATTGCTGGAGGATGAAATTGCTATTGTTTCCTCTCTGACCTGCAGCTTTCCTGGACCCTTGAGGGAGGGAGGAAAGAGCAGCCAGATTTGGTGAAGCAGCGGAGCTCCAGAAAAGACTGCAACGGAACCTGCAGCTAGTTCGGTTTGACCCGAAGTCTCTCCATCTTTTCTGGAGGGTTAGACTAAATCCCCTGGCAAATCCCCCTGCTCCTGGCTCCACCAAGACCTCTCGGACGAAACAGAAGTACTTTCAAAAGTCAGGGTTGAAGGAATGATTAGGTGCAAGAGACCTAGAATGGCCATTAAGTTGGACACAATAGCCAAAGGGCCATATATTCAGAGGTCCAACCCATTTTACAGGGCAGGAAACCGGGACCCATTGCTAAACAAAATCCTGCAAATAGTAAGGGGCCGAGCAACGCCTCGGTCCTGTGACATTTAAACTTGCGGTGATTTCGAGGTTACCCCTAGAAGTAAAGGACACAGAGAAAAGAAGGTGCCCAGAACTGGGACTGCAGAGCCCAGCCAAAGGCTGTCGGCTGCGTCGCGGAGCAGAGGAAGGAAAGAAGAGAGCAGAGACCCCAAGAAGGGCAGCCTGGGGCGTGGGCAGAGCCCTGGGTGGGAAAAGGGCACAGTCCTGCCCTCTTGAGACCTCGGGAAAAGTTATTCCTAAACCCGTTTCTCCAACTTTCGCTTCCAATTTTTACCCACAAGGTGCAAAGTTGCAAATACCCTTCCACCCGTGGGGCAGAGGTGGAAAGACATAGGAGAAAAAGATTGAAAATGGGGCGCTTCTCTTCCCAGCCCCGAAGCTCTTACCTTTCGTTCCCTGCCACAGACAACCGAGCTCACATGGGCCAAAGTTTCTCCCAGAGCAAGCGAATCAAGCGCTCCCAGAATCTGGAGCCCGAGGTACGGCGCTGGCCCTGCGACTCCCGGGGGGCCTGCAGGTGACGGTTCCCAATTACTCTATTTTGTTCAGCGCCTTTCCTTCGGCCCCAGCCCCTGCTCCCAACCACAGCTAGGACTAAAATAGGCATCGGAGCCGGGAGGAGGTGGCGGCAGTGCCCGGGCACGGGTTGTCACGGCGCACGCGCCCCCCAGATGCGCCCACAGCTGCAAGTGCTGAGCTGCTTGGCAGGCGGAGACACTGAGCCCCGCCGCTTGCTTAAGAACCTTTTAGGCAGAAGAACGAGGGGAGGGAGCTATCCAGGAAGAGTGCATCAGAGGTATCGGGCAGGGGCGCAATGGTTCTCCCGCCGGCTTTTCTTTACTGGGATTAATTTTATTCCCCTGCTTTATTCTGTTTTCATTTTTGTTCAAGGATCGGAGAAATGAGTAACAAACAAGTTACTTGCACCGGGAGCTTCTGATGGCGAAAATGGGTAGTCCCGGGAGACAAAATATGTGACTGCAAGTTTTGTGGCTTTATTGGTTTAGGATTTGTGATTTCATGGATTTATGGAACTTCCTCAATAGTTGCAGACTGGCTATTCATCTATGACTTACAGGTATAAACGTTTTCTCTGGCGATGCTAAGAGAAGTTAAAGCATTTGCCCATGGTCAAATGGTCTTCTGAGAGGCAGAAATTAAATCGAAGTCTTTCTCACTCCAAAGCCAACCTTCTGGCCTTTAGCCCAGGCTGCCTCTGTAAAAGCAAGTAACCAATATAAACCTCGAGGTGTTTCTTTCCTTCCCACATCTTGGTTTACTTTGAGGCATCCACCTTCTCTTCTTGGGGGTAAGCCAAGTTGGGTCACAAGTCATAACTGGAAATGAAACACATCTTCATTTCCCCTCCAGCTCCATTGACACTATTTCCTATTTTTGCCCAACTCCTTGCTGAATCCATCATTCCTCCTGACAGCCAGCTGCAATGAAGTCCCATGCAAGTATTGTTTGGAAACTAATAAGCTTACTTGCATAAACATGCCTTTAAATAAAGAACCTGGTTTAGCATACTTATTTTGATCCAGCTCCTTAGTCCTCCATCTCTTCCAAGATACTTTTGGATGGGTCTAAAACAATTTAAAGAAGGAAAGCATATTAGGACCCTAAATTTAGAGCTGTGGAGGAACCCCAGAGATCATCTAATACAACCTCCTCATTTCAGAGATGAGGAAACTAGAAAGGTCAAGTGACTTGCCCAATCACACAGGGAGTAAATAGAAGAGAAGATTTGAAACCAGGTCATCTGACTCCAAATCCAGCGCTTTTCCTACTACAGTCAGACCATTACAATCAACTCAATAAGCATTTACTGAGGGCCTACTATGTGCCTCTCCCCTGTGATTCTCTGCCTCTCAGTACCCCCCTTATCAACCAATTGGTTATATGCCCTTTGATACCCACTCTGGGTGCGTCTAGGGCAGAAGAGCAGATTCAAGAGGCCGACACGGAGCTCCTTTGGTCCAGAGTGTGAGCCAAAGATCATTGCAGCCCAATAATATGAATGGTGCTTACCATACCATAGGGACTGGCCAGTAATTTACCACCATTTTTCTTCAGCCCAAGACAAAGCTAGACAATTTTGAAACCACAATTGGGACTAGGCATGGGTAAGATAGGTAAAAACATGAAGAACATAATGAGAAATACTTTTGCTGTTAATTATTATCAATATTATTAACATTATTATATTACATATTATTAATTTTATAATATATTAATGCTACCAAAATTCCAGGAGATGGACATATTTATTTTGTGATGGATTATTTTCTTAAAGCATGATTTTAATCATGTCATTCTCCTTCTCAAGATGTTTCGGAGGCTCCATGTTTCTTCCAGGATAATAACAAACTTCTCTGTTTGACATTTCTCCTCCTCCTCCTCCTCTTCCTCTTCCTTCTCTCCTCATTCACCATACTCCATCGTCCATCTATGTATCTTTACACAGAATGTCCCTATGCCTGGAATGGATTAATTTTCACCACCTCCACTCCTAACTCCCTTAATAGCTCAGCTCAAAGACTGCCTCCTACATGAGACCTTGCCTGATGCCTCCCATATGCTAGAACCACCCCTTTTTAAATTAATTTGTATATATTTTGTATTTGAGTATATTTACACATTTTGTTTTCTCTGGTAAAATTTAAGTTCTTTGAAAGCAACACCAAGCACAGAATAAGTACTGATAAATGTTTGTTGACTAATTGATTGGTGAACCAACTGTATGTGTGACAGTGAAGGCTCAGACCCTCTGGTGGACAGTAACATGGAAAGGGTCACATTTTTCTAAGATATGAAAACACACTTTTCAAACTTTGTGTAGGATACACAAATGTCGCAGATTAGCACTATCTGGGACATTGGAGGAAGGGGCGAGGTAGATGAAAAAAGAATAAGGGAGGCATTTGGCCTTGAACTTTTTGCCTGGACCATTTCTTGAGCCCAACTTCACAATCCATTGGCAGAACTGGGATTATAATCAAGAGCAAAATTGCACTGTAAGAAGTTAAGACAGCATTTTTCAAAGGGATTTTTTTTCTTTACTAATTTTGTTGAGACTACAGGAGGCAGCACAGGAATAGAATATGAAAGGAAATTTGAAGATGAGGAAAAGGAAAAGACAATAAGAAATCCACTGGCCTTGTTAAAGGCTCAAACTTATATGTGTTGGTCTCTAAAACACCTTGGTTGGTAACACAAAAATCTAGGCTTAACATTCTTAACTTCCTGTCATATTATATAGAACACATGTAAAAAATGCATTCAAATATGCTGACCCAGGAATATCAGAACAATTCTCATGAAGAAACATTGCTTGAGTGTGCGTGTGTGTGTGTGTGTGTGTGTGTGTGTGTGTGTGTGTGTGTATCAGAAGCATAGTGGCATGGTGGATAGAGTCAGTTTAGGAGTAAGGACAAGCTGTTCTTAAGTCCTCCTCTGACACATAGTGGCTGTGTGACCCTAGGTAAGTCATATAACTTTTCAGTGCTTCAGGCAACCCCTCTAAGATCATAAGCTATGCGGGAGTTGCCAATTTTCATTAGTGGAAGGCGTTTTCACACCGGGACTTCCCTTCACTGTTGAAATTATAGGTCCAAAGCACCATCCCTGCCAATACCCACACAGAGGTACAATGATCCTTTTTGTTCAAAACTGTGAGGTTTTTTTTGAGGAAACTTATGCTACTGATGTAACTAGGTACCTGCTCTTTAACTTAAGGTCTTAGACAGTTCCCTGGGGACAGTGAGGGGTTAAAAAACATAGTCACAAAACCAGTATGGGCTAGCAGTGAGACTTAAACTCAGGTCTTCATGATTCTTGAAGCCTGCTATCTATGGACTAATACCCCCACTATGTCTCTGTCTCACTGTTTCTCTATCTCTCGCTCTCATTATCTCTTTCATTCTCTATCATTTGCAGATCTTTTATAGGTTTTATTTGGCAAGCTTATAAAAGGGTATGGTTAATCCATTACATGCTATTTATATCTTTCTAGGTGCTAATGCAGGAAGAACTTGGTTCAAATCCTGCCTCAGACTGTTGTGACCCTGGTCAAGTCATAACCTCCTTGGACCTCAGTTTCCTCATCTCTTGGATGAGAAGGTTGAAACTGATAATCTGTAAGGTTTCCTCCAGATCTAACTCTACAATGCTATCATTCTGAGAGCCCAAAGCTTATTATATTTCTGGTCTCTGGAACCAAGTATTGGGACAATTTTGTTTTTTTGATGGGAAGATGATGTACCTTAAACATAATCAATTTGAAATTATAGTCAGAGCCTCATCTCAAAGCTGGATAACACCAAATGTTATAAGCTTCCCGTGTTATTGTAAGAAAAATAAATTATGATTATTAAGACTATCAAATCGAAGTCAAGAATTCTAGACATGGGATCATAGGATCCTTTCCCCTCATATTCATTACCAACAGTGGAAAGGTCAGATTGGCAAGATTTCCAACTCATGTCAATTGTGGAAATGTCAGATTTTCAAGATTTCCTAGCACTGGTTGAAAACTACTATGAAACAAAAAACAGTTTTCACAGAAGTGAAGAAGTGGAAAAGGTAGGGGTCTGGGGGGAGGGATGGAGAAGCTACTTGTTATAGACTTGTCTATCTGCCCTGCAGAAATAGCTGGTATAACTTCGACATAAGCAGCTATTTCTATCATCTCCTTTCCAGAAACCTGTCTCTTCACCAACTGAACAAAAGAAAATTGATGAGACTTTGTATTTGAGAAAAGAGTGTTCTTTTGCAGTAATTGAACAAGATTGAGAGGTAATTTTGTTTTTAAGAGCAGAAAAATGTTTTGAAATTCCTGTAGAGTATAATAAGAACAAAATCACACACTCCTTTGCTACTTTGAGTATATAACCCTATAAGTCTGAATCAATGTGACATTTCTTTAGATTGCCAGATTAAATGTATAGGAATTGTGCCTTCCCAAGAATTCACTTTTCTATAATAACCCCTTTTAGTCAATTACATAGTGATAGGCAGCTGCACACTGTTAATTGACTACTAAACCAGGGTCTTTCTGTTTAGTTCTTCCTTTTCTGTATTTGTGAATCTCCAGATGCTGCATTAACATTTGTGTGTATGTATGGAATCAATGTAGCTGTTGTCTCAGTCAAATACTTAGTTTTACTTTGGACTTTGTTTTTTGTTTAATACTGACTTGCTGGGTGGAGGTAGTTCCTGAAGATAATCAAATGAATTTCTCCATAAAAATGCAGATGACTACTTTTTGTCCTGATTCTGACTTGCTAGACTCACAAAGTATAGATCAGAAATGGCAACTTCTACTACTGTACATCAGGTGGATAAATTTTTTTAATTTTTTTTTATTTTTAGGCAATTGGGGTTAAGTGACTTGCCCAGGGTCACACAGCTAGTAAGCATCAAGTGTTTGGTCTGAGGTCGGATTTGAACTCAGGTCCTCCTGACTTCAGGGCCAATGCTCTATCCACTGCGCCACCTAGCTGCCCCTGGTAAATTTTCATGTAACTGTTTCCTGCCAAACCATCTGCCCCCAAAAGTTAAATACAAATA